ATTTATCAACACCTAACTCGGAGATTTGCCATTGTAAACAGTATGTGTAAGTCAGAAGATTTTTCAACTGGAAGACAAGTCAATTGTAAATAACAATCGTAAGCAATGTGCTTATTTTGGTCTTTCTAGATGACCCTTTTGTTTACATGATATACAATTGTATTTAGCTATACTTCAGTTTTAGGGGGATGCTACCCAGTTGCTCTAAAACATTATGATTTACGGTAATTTTACTAGATGACCATAAAATAGTAAAAAAGACAAACACAAATGCATTATAGCTTCAAGACACAATAGAAATTTCCAGTTTTATCCCATCTGAATGGATGGGAAAATGACAAGCAAAACTAGCCATGGATCATTTCTTTTTATTTTTTATTTTTTATTTTAGCAGGGGAAGCACAGGTAGCAAGAATGAACAGAGAAGACAAAAGAAAGCAGACCTTTGTTTTTTTTTTTCTTTGGTTTCCCACAAAAGCATTTGTGAAGAAGACAAGAAAGGTTCACAAGAAGGTAATACAAAAGTGATAAAGCCAAGGTGTGTGTTGTATTGGATAGAAGGTGTGTGGATATAACAGGCTAAAATTAAACTGCTCATCAAAAATGCCAAAAGCTAAATTGTATAGAATTGTGAACTGGGTTTGCCTAGTTGCTGAATCTTTTATCTCTGCACTGGTCTACAGCTGGTCCCTTCTTCTACCTAGTACATTTACTCTTTCAAATGCTCAACCTGCATAATGGAAGATAAGTACATATGCAAAAAATAATTTTTCAGACCAAAATAACACCTGCTTCTTACTGTCAGGACCCAATAACAGACTCTGTTTCTTTTCTTGGTAAACTTTATTATTCCTTCCTAAATTTTAGTATTTTATAATAATTCAGTAAACATTACCCATAAAATATTTATAAAAAATATAAATTCTTAATATTTTATAATAATCCAGTAAACATTAGTAAAAATCATCATTTGCAGACGATTATGTGTTTAAATTCATAGATTCTGCATTAGGATACACCTGCTTGGTATGCAATAATATGATATGTAAGAGGAGTTTCTTTCTTTTTCTTTTTTCCAAATGGAAGATATAAAAGAAGAAATCACTCTGAGACCATAAACTAACTGCTAAAGCTGATAGAAATGCAATACTAATGGAGCAGTAAATCCGTCAAGCCTCTGAAAAAAAAAAAAGACGATGAATATAATTCTACTACTGCCTTATGATTTATAAGTTTCCATGAACAAGAACAGAAGGCCAAATGCAACCCAGATAATAGCTTCAGATTCCAGTACACCTGCCTTCTTATCAGTCTCCATTAACTTGAGGTTCTCTACTGGTAAATTCCAACCAACATTACATCTTTAAACATACAACACTTTCAATCAAGGAAGAACACTACAGTTAGATAGCATCAGCAACCAACACCAGCATCAGCAAGCAGTTAGTAAGACCTTAGGCCAGCCTCTCGTCATTCAAAAATCGAGGCAAGGTCTCAATAAAAAGTCAAGAAGTGGCGATTGATCCAAGTTCTTGAATCACATTTTCCATGGATGGTCTATGATTAGGAGATTCGTGGATGCAAAGCAGAGCAATTCTCCCTAGTTTATCAGCCTCGGATACTGCAAACTTCCCCTCAAGATTCATGTCAATAAAGTCTTCAACTCTTCCCAACTCTACTGCATGGCGCATAAATTGGGTGATCTTACATTTTCCACTGAGGATTTGGAATACGATCACACCAAATGCGTATACATCGCTCTTTTCAGTGAAACGACCAGTGGTTATGTATTCAGGAGCCAGATATCCCATGGCAGCACTGGCTTTTAGTTTTGAGAAAACAATATCATCTGTGAGGAGTTTGTGCAGGCCTGAATCAGAAAGTGAAGGATTATACCAGTGATCAATGAGCACTTTCTTTGCTGATATATTCTGGTGGACTATTGCAGGTTTGCTCCCTTTGCTTCCATGCAAGTATAAAATACCTGATCAGAAAAGAAAATCATGTTTCAACATTCAACAAAGGAAGTAAAGGTTGTTTAGACTCAATTTCTCAGATCAGGGAAATGATTAATAGTCCTTGAACTAATACGGGTTGTGGCCTAATTTATTATTGATCTCTGGTTCTAATATCATATTAGATGATTAATCCCCACAGTCAATTATTTATACGTTAATAGATGAGTGCAAACAAAATCTTTCACCACTAGTGGGTCAAAATATTTTAGCCTGAATGAAGAAGAATACAGACTGACCTTTAGCAATACCATTTATGATAGAGATTCTGGTGGACCATTCAAGAACCCTTCCACTGCCTTCCTTTACATCAAGGTACTGCAACAGATTTCCATTTGGGACAAAATCATAGATTAGGAAACACTCTCCCCTCCTTTTGAACAGCAAGACCTCTCACCTCACAGATTTTCATGTTTCAATGAGGTCAACATCTTCAACCTTTCAAAACTCAGCTTCATCTGACTTGCAGCTCGTCTTTGCAATGCATTTTACAGCAACTATCGATCCATCTCTGAGGATCCCCTTGTAGATTGCAGAGAAGTTACTTTTCCCCAATAAATTCGCCTCTGAGAAACACTGAGTGGCACGTTCCACCTCTTCTAGATTGAACATAAAGCTCTCAAGAACTTCTTGAGAAAGTCCACTTCTTGTTCGACCTTTTCCAACCGGGTCCCATCCATTAGAATACTCCAAGCTAATGAGAGGAGAAGCACCCTTCCTGGAAACTTCCTTGAAGTGGTTAGTACTGAGCCGACCATCAGAAGCATCGGTAGCACTTCCAATTTTCTCTTTTTGACGACGGTACCATGCAAATGTGAAAAGTCCAATGAAAGTGATTGCCACAATAGCTCCAATCACGCCAAAGATCACACCAACAGGCGTGCTGCTGGATGATCTTGAACAACTGCTTCCACTGCAATTATGGTCGAAATTTGCAGACTCTGGCTTATCCTGGGAAGAATGACCGTTAGGCTTGAAGGGCTCTGGCCTGTTTGGATCCAAATGATCAGAAGCAGCGCAAGCTTTCAAGTTTGGAAACCCAACTCCACATAGCCCCAGATTGTTCTCATATTGGAATCCATTTTTGAGTCTCCCCAGAGCTTCATTTCCAACGAGAAACAAGTGAGAAAACTTTTCCACCTCATTTTTTTTCTACTCACATGAAACAGACTGAAAAAAAAAAGAAGTCAACCGAGATTTGAGAGACTATTTACCTGGAGATACAATGCCAGAGAGGGAATTGTTGCGAATGTCTAGGACTTTTAGCAGAGGTGCCTCGGCCAGCTTAACTGGAACTGGGCCAAATAGGCTATTAAAGCTCAAATCCAACCTTGTCAACATCTGCAAACCTCCCAAACTCGCAGGAATCGCCCCAGTCAATTGATTATATTGCAATGCCAGGACGCTCAGCTTCTGCAAAGATCCCAACTGGGTTGGCAAGCTTCCACTCAACTTATTGTAACATAGCTGCAGAACTGTAAATGAAAATACCAAGATTGAAATCTGTGAAAATTCCGTAATTATCTGGACTGATAAACTTGAAAGTCCCACATTGTCGCTCAATAGTCAAACTGGATTAGCCAAGCTAAAGAACAAAGAAGGACAGGAACAAAAAGACCGGATCTAAAATGTTGGGTTCAGGTGAGCCAGGAGATCCGATCATGATAACGTGTAATAGAAGATCCGAAAAGAAGAAGAAACCCAAAAAAGCAGCGAAGAAAAGTGGGAGACCCAGAAAAGGAAATCACAAATTCAATTTGCTACAAACAAGATTATCAACGAAGAAAACATTAACTAAAAACAAGATTAAAGCTTTTGCTAAGTATATAACGTAGGAAAAAGACCCATTTAAGAGACAAAACGTAGAATAAACTGTGGAAGAGTTGAGGAGAAAAAGAAAGTAAATGAAGCTTTTTGGTGCAATAAATGAACTTCAATAACTTTTTTAACAAGTCTTGAAGCTGTCCGTGGCAATTAATACTATGGCAGCCTAAATGCAGTAACTATCAACAGTTCAAGAGAATGAAGACCCAATAAATCAGTCAAAGAAAGATCAATTTTTAATTAAAAAAATAGCAAATTTAAGGGAAAAAACTAAAACAACCAACCTTGAATGTTACTCATGTTGCCAATCTGGGAAGGTATTTCTCCCGAGAGATTATTGACATTGAGATACAAATCGCTGAGTTGACTCAAACTTGCAATCTCCCTCGGTATCTCCCCATTCAAGGAATTGAAATGTAGGTACAAGCCAGTCAAGCTCTTGAGTCCACCCACAGCTGCCGGTATACTGCCGGACAGACCCATCCCCTGGAGGGAAATGTTGGCAACGTGACCCTCCTCATTGCACGCCACGCCATCAAACGACACGCTGCTACATGGGTCTGCCCCGGGCACCCACGAGGGTTAAGAAGCGGTTTTCTGGGTCCAGAGATGATTTGATTTGGAGAAGAACGTCGAGCTCTGCAGGTGAAGAGAATGTTGAAGGAAGCAAGAGAAAGACAGAGAGGATGTAGAAAGAGAGAAGAGTCATGTTTGGTTTGAGAGAAAATGAAGGAAAATGAGTTGGAAAAATGAGGATTCGAATCTCTGCGCTCAGCAGTTTGTGTGCAGAGTCCCAGTTTGGCGAGGGAGATAAGCTGGTCGCACACGCACTCGCTGTACGTACAAAAGACTTTCCCTGTTTAAAAATAATTAAATTTTTAAATAAATATTTAATGTTTTAATTTACATAATTAGTGATTATAAATTCAATTATTGCTTAATACAAAATTTAACTAATTAATTTTCTTTAAATCTATATTTTTTTTAAGACACGTGTTTTTTAGAAATTATTTTTCTCGTATGCCCTTTTTAATTCAATGAAGAAAATGGAGAAGAGTGGATGTAAATGATTGAGTTTTAGTTGGGTAAGTAAAGGATTTAAAATAAAAGAAAAGTGGGGCCCATAAGGTACTGAAAATGAGAATCCTCACTATTTGAAAAAAGGGTCCCACTTTTTATTTTTCATATATCATTCATCTTACATATATTTTATAAATAAAATAATCATAGTATTATTTTGTATTACAAATTATATAAAAAAAATAAGCATGATAATTACCCAGTTTGGTAATTGAAATTTTATTGGGATAAGCATGAGGAGAATTAAGAGAGAAAAAGACTTCTATTTTGGGGGAGAAAATAAAGAAGAAAAATTAGGGGAGGGTCATTTTCAAAGAGAAAAATTGGGAATTTTTAAAAATTAAAAGATAATTTTAAATCCCACTACTGGAGTATGGAGATAATGGAAAAGGGAAAGTTATGATTTTATCACTAAAGTTTTTTTAAAAAACTATCAATTAATTATATCATAATCTTTTTTATCTTTTTGTAATTTAATCATTAAACTTATGATTTTATCTTAAAATTTTTTTAATAAATAAATTTTATAAAGATAATAACAGAAAAAAAATTCACTTTTTAACTTAAAATAATTATAAACTTACCTTTTTCTTTTTATTTTACAAATAAACAATTATTTATATTGCCTTTCTTTTCCAACAATTTTATGTTACAAAAAAAATTGACAAAAGTGAACTACTCCAACTTCGTAGCTAAAATGACATGTTCCTAAATTACACATAACAAATATTATTTTCCAATTTTTTTTTAAAAAAGCGTAAATATTAGATAAATTGACTAATTATGCATGAATTTTTCTTCCTTTTTGTACCAAACATTATACTATGCATCTCAATAATGTTTTTAAAGGATTGAAACAACAATTCATATGATTCATTTTTTTTTTCATAATTATCATCAAATAATAATATATACTCACCATCGTTATTATCACTTATATTGTTAGTCTCATGGTTACCATTGTTCTTTATTATTACAATCACTCTTATTATCATTTTAATTAATGTTGTTATTTACTATTATTACTACTATAATTATTGCGTTGTCATCGTATTTATTGTTGCAGTTATTAAAATTATCGTTATTGCTATTAACATCTTATTATATGTAAAGGTCCCGCAATTTAAAAGAAAATAAAGTCATAAATTAAGTGCAGAAGCGAAATAATAGAGTTTAGACTTTATATTCCTTATACAATAATTTAGAATGCCCAATAAGAGTACAAGAATGAACATTCTAAAAAAATAAACAAAAATTAAAGAAATAAATAAAAGGCTATTTGTTGAACGTTCTAGGACGACCTTCACTAGCTTTTGAAGGCAGTTCGGGTGGTAAACTATTCACAACTCTCTTATTGATCGGGATCTGGGTCTTTGTCCTTTTGATCTAAAATAGTTAATGAAATGGTGAGCTATACTAACCCAGTAAGAATATTACACTACTCACCGATACAGAAACTGAATGTTGGTAAAAATTATAAAAACAACCAACGAAACTCTTGATTTAAGTAAATTATTTATCATAAAAAAAATTATTTATTGCATATATTTAACATTGCGAGATTTTTAAAATTGACCTATAAAGACAATAATTCAAATAACATCCTAATCTCATTTTCAAATGAGTTATAACAATAACTTTCCATTTTTATTTGCCTACTGGTATCCTTAGGGGCTCATAGGAATGTTTCACTACGCGTGAACCAATATCCAATATTGTCAATTAACCGGTTGTCCTCATACCCCGTCCAGTATGAGTGCCAAAAATATCATCTCTCAATACCCCGTCCGACATGATGGTGAATCGGGTCATCCCCATACCCCCGTTTGGTATGAGTGTAAAAAATACTATTTGTCGATACTCTGTCTGGTATGAGGTAACGTTTACGGTATGGTTCCTTATGTATCCGGTCCATCCACCATATTCCAGAATATCTAATAAAACTATCATTCATTAATTCACATGACCAAATAATTTTTCTTTTGCATATTAATTATCAATTTCACAAATCAACTGTAAATCACGCAAGATAAGCAATATATATATCAAGAAAGCACAATTAAATCATTCAATCATTTCAGTATATCATCATGTATTTAAAGTTATAAATTCAACAATCAGTTACATAAGACAATAAATAAATGACTAACTAGTTCCGATTCCATTAGTAATGTAACGGCCCCGGAAATTTAAAATGAAATATGTATATTAAAAATGTCAATGCGGAAGTGAAGTCAAAATTCGATTAACATCCCTTACACTAAAACCAGAAAAAACGTGTTCAAAATATAAAAGATCAGACTAACTAAAAGAGAAATTCGAAAGTAAAGCTATAATTATGACTTTGGAGTCTTTAGGCGTCCCCTTCGTCGTCTTCTTGCGGAACGGGCTCGAGAACAATGTCTTCATGATCTAAAATGATTAAATAAGGAATGAGCTACACTACCCCAGTAAGGACATCACGATATCTCACCGTTACGGAGGTAAAGGTGGGTAGAAAACACAAAAAGACCAATGGAGCATAATTTACAATAAACTCATTTATCAGTAATAAAACCTTTTACCATTCACTTACCTCGGTGAAATTCATAAAATAATATACGAAAGCAATAACATTATCATCATCATGAAATCATATAAACTATGTAACATAATACTTATCACGCCTTTACAATTCAATCATTGCACAATCACTTTTCCTCATTCACCAGCCTACTAGTATCCATAGGGGTCCCGCTACCCGTTACCCTTAATACTTGTAATCAGATTCCAGGGCCGTCCCCATACCCCGTCCGGTATGGGCGCCAAAACTGTAAACCTCAATATCCCGTCCGGTATAAGGGTGAAACGGGCCGTCCCCATACCCCGTCCGATATGGGCGCCAAAACACATAAGATCTCCATACCCCGTCCGGTATGAGAGACCACAATCACGGTAGGGTCCCCTATGGACCCGGTCCGTCCACCATCTCCCAGGATATCTAGTCAGGCTGAGCACATCATACCATTATCAATCTACACAATCTTTCATTTTCCTTTTCCTCAATCAGCATCATCAATTCACATTTAAACAAGCAAACATCAGTTTATGCCAAACAGACAACATACAGCATCGGTATCTCAGTCATCCAGCTCAAA